AGAAAAAGAGAGAGTGTGGTCTCCCTCCCCTGTTCTATTTTTCCCATAATTGGTGTGGTCAAATTATAAGAAACGGCTATTTTTAAGTGTGGCAGCAAAAAAGAGGCCTAATTGCTGTCCACCCCTTCCTAAACAAGAGTCGTTGCATGACAATGCTCGCCCAGGAGAGGTGATGGGTGGCAGTGGGGCCTCTGGCTCTACCTGCGAAGAGAGGGAGTGTGGTCTCCTCAGCCTGAGCTCCGGAGCCGAGACCCCGACGCCCAACTTCTATAGTCCGTGTCTCGATTGTGGTCCAGACCGAGCAGGGATCGGAGCCCGACCCTTCTGTGCGGGGTCCTGCGATAGCTCGTTGGGGCCGAGGCACGCCTGTAACACGGGCGAAGTGTAGTTGTCGGAGGCGGCTGCCGATCGTGCGGATCGTCGAACAGCCAGTCCTGAGGGAGTACAGGAGACTAAATGCCTGCCTTAGTCCTGTCCCCCGCATTGCGTGTGTCTCTACGCTCGGGGCGTGACACAGCCAGACCCCGAGTAAGTCATCACCGCGACGTCCTGGCTCAGGCCGCGGCACAGTCCGACCCTGAGCCACCGTCGCTCCCTGCACGCTCGCCTCGGGGCGCGACACGAGTTCGACCCCCGAGGGTTGACCTGGAGTGGTACCAGAGGCGGGTGCCTACCTACCAGGACCTCAACCTGATTACCTCCTGCTCTCCTACTTTGGAGGACCTAAGGAGGACAGGCCTTGAGACTACTCGTTCTTGCTACTACAGAAGCACAGGTAGTCGCCCGCTACCTTGGTGTCGGTAGTGAGGAAAGGCAAGTTAGTAACAGGTATGTTACCAGCTTGAAAAATCAAAACCTTACCTTTAATTCCGAAGAAAGAAACGGTGAGGTAGATTGCAACACTAACTGGTGTGTTAGTATTAACAGTCTTCTTGCAGAAGTATATATAGAAGTAGCCGGCGAGCGCCCGTCGACCGAAGTTAGCTTGGATAGCTTGGTTCCGTCTGTGGACTGTGTGAGCTCGCCCGGCTACCAGTAGAGATGTGCTCTGAAGCGAGAAGAGGTGTTTGAATGACGCATGCGGCGTAGCGCAAGCTACTTATAGGGGGTGGATTCCCTGACGCTGACGTCAACATCACCAGCCAATCAGGATTGGCGTAATGAGATTGATGCTTCTGTTTGCTCCGCGATGAGGCGCATCCCATAGTGAGACATCGAACGGAGTGTTATGAATGAGAACTGCCAACACACAGTTTTGTATTTGTAGTATATCTGTATGTAATGCAAATGTATTATATATGGATGTTAATTTTAAGAAAACGTGGTGACCAAACACAGGTTTTGTCAAATGCCAATACATGAATATATATTTGACAACCAATAAATATATATTTGAATCATATAGTCAAGGGTTGTCTGGGTACCTCTAAGTAGTGCTGGGAACAGTGTCCCCCGCTGTTCCTCATTGCCCTGACAAACACCATCTCTTCCTCTGGCATTTTCATTCTGAGAACTGCATAGAGTGATGATTTCACACCTGCATGTCAACAAAGCTGCTTTGATGCACCAGATTTGTCAAGCTAATGGAAACTACGTACTATGAAGGTCAGTAATGTCACACAGTGATGAACACTAAGAGGAAGGAGGGCGGGGACTTTGGGAAGATATCAGGTGACTACATTGAATAAGAGTGCAGGGTTTGGCGATTGGACTCGGCACATGGCAGAATCATGAAGGCTAGAGGAAAAACAGGAGGCATTGATGGTGCAAGGAGGATGCTGTGAATATGAAAAACATTAAGGGCAAAGAGGGATTAAGAGTTTCGAGGAGGGGATTCATGTCAAATTATGAAGTTGGAAGAATAGGATTCCCATCTGACATGTATATAATTAAATTACATTTTAACTGGACATTGAATTTTACTGCTAGTAGGCTACGTTGTATCAGTCCATTTATCTGGAAGAATAATAAAATACAGAAGTTTGTGGAGTAATTGCTGATATGTTTGTGCGAGAGAGACATGTGCAAGAGTGAATGTGCATGCAGTTTATTCACAAATGAAGCCCTTATCCAATGTATCCGTTGAAGTGTGATTAGGATTCTTCAGGCAAAATAGCTAAGGTAAATCTGCCAAGAAAGCCAAATGTCTGGAATGTAGATGTAGGGCTAATTTCAGACCACATTTATGGAGATGGAGACTGACAGAAGGAGAGAGTAGCCGTCGGTTATGGCCCTGGCTAGGATTCATAATGACCCCAGGCCAGATCACCAGCCATCTGTACAATGCTACAGATATATGCAGACTGCCTCAGTGGTCGAGGGAGGAGACATTGGGGGTAGAAGAATGGAAGAGTGACCTTTGGGTGAATGAGTAAAGAGACAGGGCTCATAGGACAGACAGAACGGGTTAGACGGACATAGGCAAAGAGAGAGCTGACTGACAATGATAGATGGAGACCCTCACAATCTGGAGGAAACGGAAGGACCATGACTTACACCCAGCCATGTCCTACAGTATATCACTTATGCCTGCTTGGCACAGCCCAAGGCATGGCGGAAGAGGAAAGGTGAAGGAGTCTGTCATTTCCATCTTCGCGCAGGTGCTTGGAGACAAGCCATTTGTCAAAGTTTGTCATTGGCTCTGAGGTTATCTTGCCTCTCTGATAGAAGATGATAGGAGGAACATCAGAGTTGTGTGTGTGTATGACAGGGTGGTGTGTGGAAGTGGGGGAAGGGTTTCATTTGGGCTCTATATATAAAACATCCATCACCCATCAGACGTGTAGGTGTCACCTAACCAGGCAAATCTAATCATGTGATCCTGCGGAGGTGAGGAGGAGAAAATCAATCTTGAAAGTTGTGTGTAGAGTTTAACATTATTTTGCTTTGCAAGAGCAGTAGGGCAGCTTCAGTCATTCAGAAGCATGTTTATTTTGAATACATAAAAACTGTTTACTGTACAGCCCCACAAGAGAATAACTTAATAACATGTTGTTCTGCTCGCAGTCAAGGCAAAAATAAAATAAAATGTAAGGTGTAAAACAGCATTTGTCTTTTATATAAGTTACAGGTAAAGTTGATATGATATCAGCATTGATTACATATGTAAATGTATCTAAGCTTTAAAGAGTATTCAGGGATGTGATGCTTTCCTTACAGTCCACATAACTGTTTGTAATAGTGCATGTTGGTTTGCTCCATTGGATCAAGACCAGGAGCATCAAAATGGCCAGTGGCAAGTGTTAGTGTAAAAAAGTGACCTGTCGCTCTAAACCACTGATGTGGTTCTATGTAGATGACATTCCTTACAGAGACCCTCTGACCACACTGTCTGTGGAAGGATGATGTCCCCTGGAATGGTTAGCCACACCAAAGCTGTCCAAACAGATTTCACGCTCACGCTTCAACTTTTCTGACATAGCATGACAATGAGAGGCATCTGACGTGTCTTCCACATTGACTGTCAATGTTGAACATGTACATCTGCATATACAAGAATATAACTAGCCCTACAGTTGCAAGCCCGACACCCTAGAGGCGGTCATACCTGCTGTTACTTTATTATTCAGTCCAATAACAGTGACCAGAATTTCGCTCATCAGCATGGGAGCAAGTTGTGTCCAACTGTTGCAATTCTCATGTGTCATGCATGTCCACTCATCTCTCTTGGAGGCATCCTTTGCCACAAGGAGCTTAGTCCTTCCTCTTTTAGCTTATTATAGGATTACATTTACAGAAATTCAAAGGGTATTTTAGTATCATTATTTGTGTTAGAAAACAAGTGCACTTTGTGAAATTAACTGTCAAACTATTAAACCAGAGAAATCGACATATAGGTAGCAGACTCTAGACGACACTAGCACAATTATTACAGAAATATAATGCAATGGTTCAGCTGTCTCTAACATGGCACATTGCCCGAGAACAGGTTGGCTTCTGTTCGCTATAATAAAATAATAATAACAACTATGACCTTGAATTAGCTAGGGCCGGCTCTCTGGCACAGCCGACATGAAGTCTAAAATTACTACTTGGGGGTCAGTGAGGGCCCCTGCCGAGGGAATGGAGAACCACAGGCCGTTTTTAGCCTAGCCAGTGAGGAGGAGTAAGAGTCAGTGACAGATGAGTGAAAGATACATATTGTGACTCTGTGGAAGGGAATCTGTCTTCACCAGATCTCTTCTGCTTTTGAATTTGTATTTCCTCTGTCCAGGCTGTTCATGAAAATGCAAGGAAAAGTCAAGGTTACACAGAGAAGGCATTACAAACATTAAACCTTGTGAGATGGAATTGTAAAAACCCAGCGCTCGTTCAATTAGTTAATGGAAATAGCAAGCAATCCTCCTGAACCATTACTATTAATTGGGTCAGAGCGATGTAAAGAAAATCACATACTTTGTGCAGATTATATCATGAGTTAGCCTGAACAATAAAGTGATAACATAAAAAGGATTTTAACTAGTTTGAAAATATAATTAATTAAGACATGAAACCTGATTTCCGCACAAAATATAAACGCTAATCTAGAATGGAGTCTAAATTAGTTTCAGGAACAACCTTCACTAAAGAAACAACATTAAATGAAATTGATTGTCAAACTATTAGCATCATTCCTTAGGGTATTTATAAGAATAATTTGTCTGAAACTACTCTTCTCTTTACAGAGCTCTGTATTGAGATGCAGCACCTGTGGTAAAATAGTCATAAATAGGAAAACATGCAAGTCCAATATCTTGATAAATGCCTCGAGCACATCTTCATGACCTCTGAACCTAGCATGCCACAGTTCATGGTAACTCAAGTTGTTCAAAGGATAATTGAGATGTTCTTCATCTGCAAAATGGACCATTAGGTTTTTGAACATTATCTGTGTATCTGTCACCAGAATGTAGTTTTATTTAAATATATAATACATCTGGAGACCCCAGCTACATTTGTAGTACTCTTGTTACATAATACTCCCACACCAATTATATGGAAATGTGAGCTGCATATTGCCCTTATTTGTTAAACTTCAGTAAGTATGCTATTGCTCAATGCCTGAAATGATACGTGTATTTATCACTTGTCACCACATAAGCTTAATACTAAATTATATATGTATTTCACAGCATATATAGTAAAAAACAATCAATAAGACCATACATGACAGCATGACTAATAGCAGCTATTTTTTTAAAGGACAAGGACAAGGAAGGCAACATCACTTAACCTTGTAATGCTTTCCACATGGTCACATGGAGTTTTCTAAGATCCACTTCACCGCCA